CCTGTCTCTAAAAACAGCAACAACAAAGACAAATATAATATATAATAATAATAAATTATATATATATATGCCTTAAATAATTCATGGTAAAGGAAAAACTAAAACAGAAATTTTAAAATACCTTAAACTAAATAATAACGATAAAACATGAATATTTGCTAAAGATCTTATAGATTTGAATTCAATTCCACTTTGGTCAAAAACACACTGAATAGCATTTCTGTTGCTTTTATTGTTTTGTTTTGCCTTTTGGGGGTTTGAGGTGGGGCTATCACTCTGTCACCCAGGATGGCCTTAAATTCAGTATGTAATGCAAATGTGGCCTTGAACTCATGGCCATCCTCTGGACTTCCCAGTTCCCTAGTGCTAAGATTATGCCTGTGAGCCAACATGCTGTTCAGCTTGAGAAATCTGAGACTTTTTCTTTTATCCAACATGTGACTTGCCATGATATTTTTGTTTGTTCCTTTCTGTTACATTTTTATTTTTGAGAACTCTCTTGTATATACACCAGGACTCACTATGTAGCCAGGATTAGCTTGAATTGATGGTCTGGCCTCTGTGTCCTGAACGCTGGGATTACAGTCATGGACCATCGTACCTAGTTTTATGTGGTGCTGAGGATCAAACCCAGGACCTTGTGCATGCTAGACAAAAATCTCTACCAACTGAGCTGCATCCCCAGCCCTGGATGCATCGGGCCAGTGTTCCATGTACTCTTGGGGGAAATGAGTTGTCATGTGTAATATTTCTAGAAATATCAATTCTGTCAAGGAAGTAGGTAGTAGTATTCAGGTTTTCTGTATTCTGACTGAATATGTGTCCAATTACACCATCAATTACTGCAAGAAGAATAAAATCTGCAGCTGTAATTGTGAATTTCTCTATTTCTCTCTTTGTTCTGTCAGTTTTTGCTTCATGTATTTTGAAGCTCTGTTATTAGATTTGGTACGGATTATAATTATTATTATTACTAGGCTTTAGAACGTGTTGGTAATTATTGTGATTCTTTAATGTATTGACCCTTTTATCATTATGAAATATCACTTTCACTCTGTCTCTAAATCTGTTTCATCTGATACAAATATAGAAACTGCAGCTTTTTGAAGAATTCTGTTTGAGTGGTATATTAAGAGAGGAGGGGGGGTGGAGGGGAGAGAGGAGAGGGAGGAGAAGAAAGAAGAGGAAGAATTTTAAGGACATGGCACGTTAGAAATGTGTGAGGGGGGCCAGGCTATCAATGCTAAGTTCTCGGCGGAAACTGAGGCTGCCATCCTTAGGCAGAATTCGTATTTCTAGGAAAGTTCAACTTGCTATTCAGGCCCTTGACTGTTGGGCCTCCTTGACTGTAAGTCGGTGTTGGCATTAACCATATCTGTATTCAGCAGCTCTTACAGCACTGTGACAAATACCTGAGGAAACCACACAAGGGAGGAAGTGTTCTTTTAGCTCACGGTTCCAGAGATTTCCATCTGTGGTTCTTGTGTTCATTGACCCCAGGGCCCATGGTGAAGCTGAACATCAAGGCAGTGAGAACACACACAGAGGCTGGTCACCTCCAGTGGACAGAAAGGGTGTCAGGAGAATGCCCGTGTTGGTGGGCTTCCTCACATCCAGGTCCCCCAGCTTAGGGGAATGATGCCACACACACTCAGCGTGGGTCTTCCTCCTTGGTTAAGTTACTGTGGTCATGCACACACAGACACACCCGGAAGTGTGCTTTAGCAACCTCCTAGGCACTTCTCAATGCAACCAGGTTGACAGACAGCACTAGCCACCGCAGCATCTTAGAGGGTCCCAGGGATGCCTGTGTTACTGTATGACTGAGTAGCTGGATACCACAGCCAAGCCAAGTGTACCCATAACCAACGCAATGGCATATCTTCTCCCTCCTTTAGCTTCCAAATTGTGTTTCAAGTGTATCTCTTGTAGTCTGGGCACACTTAGCCTTGCTTCTATCTCCAGTTGGATAACCCACGCCTTTTAATTAAAGTGTTTAATTCATCCATTTTGTATCATCAACTGTAATTTGATGTAGTTACTGATAAATTTTCATTCAGGCCTGCTATTTCCTTGTTGTTGTTCTGTTTTTGCTCTTTATATAGGCTGCCCTGTAGCTCGGACTAGCCTTGAACTCTCCGTGTAGTTTCTGACTTTCACCTCTACCTCTCAAGTGCTGAGATTACAGGTGTGTGCCACCACCCCAGACTCAGCTCTGGCCTAACTAGCTGACTGATGTTAGTTAGGCAGGTCACTCACTTGGTGCACAATCCTTGCCAGGGATCTACCTACAAGTCCACTAACTCCGTTTCCTAACATCTCCACTCTACTGCTAAGCCTATCTGATGACATTTTAACTGTATTTTTTTAGTGGTTTTTCAGCTATAGAATTTCCACTTGGTTCTTTAGTACAGCGTCTATTTCTTCCCCCAGGCTCTCCTGCCTGCTCGTTCATAATCTATATCTTTTCCTTTAAATTATCAAACACATTGTTTCACTCCGCAACATAGGCTGGCTTCAAGCTCTCAAGCAGTCTGCCCCAGTCTATGAGATTGCAGGCAGGGGTGCGCTGCCAGGTCCAGATGTTGAACATGTTTTAACAGCTGCTTTCAAATCTTTATCCACTAATCACAAAAAAAAAAAATAGGTCATCCCAGGGTTGGGATCAACCAGTGTTTAAAATGAGTGCAGGTGACATTTTGATGTTTCTTTGTATGCCCAGTGACTGCCAATTAGATATTGAGCACCGTGCTACGTCACAGAGGACTCTGCATTTTATTATAGATCACTTTCACTCCAGATGTCAGTTACTCTGGCTGGACTCAAACTCCAAACCATCTCCACTGTATTAAGCAAGGCATGCCATCTTTGCTTGTTTCTTTCTACTTGAATCCTACATGTCACTTTTTGTGTATGAGATTTCCCTCACGGGCTTGATAATTTAGTTTACTAGCTTAGTAAGCAGCAAGGATTTGAGATAATTTTTATACAAACGTATTTTGCATTACTTTTGAGGTTCAGTCCCTCTTCAGCACCTTTTCTTTGAAAGCCATACCCCAATGTTCTCGTGGCCCGACCTTAACACCTCAGACTAGCAGATCTGCAAACTTCACTGACAAAATCACTCCTTGCAAATCAAATTTCAGTTTCTGCTTGCTTTTGATTATTCTTTGACGTTTGCAAGTACTTGCAAAAAAAATTATTTGTGTATGGAACTGAAGAGATGGCTCAGTGGTTAAAAGCACTGAGTTCTCTTCTAGAGGACCCAGGTTCGATTCCCAGCACCCACATGGTGGCTCACAACCATCTGTAGCTCCAGTTCCAGAGGATCTAACACCCTCTTCTGCGGAGCTTGAAGCAGACTGATGCTGACCTGCCGGCCTCTCCAAGTCAGCACATTTAGGGCCAGTGAGAGGCCCTGTTTCAAAAAGCAAGTTGGATTTCTGGGGCGGGGGGGATGGGTAGCTTAGTGGTAGAGTGCTTGACCAGCACATGTGAGATCCTAGTTTCAATTCCGCATGGTTGGAGGTAGGCAAAAACCAGGTGAACCGTGTGGATGGCACCTGAGGAACAACACTGAAGACGATCCTCTGATCTACACACTTGTGTACACACATCTGCGTCCACCCACTTCGTGTGTGCGTCCAGGTTTTAAAACTGCTGCCTTCCATGGCTGATTGAGGTTGGGGAATTGATCCAGCCAAGCTATTTTTCCATTACAGAAGCCAAAACTTTATTATTCCTTTTGGCCCAGAGGAAATGGAGGGCTGCCATAGAAATGATGTGACTGGACCAAGTCATATGACTAATTACCAACTTTAGCATCCAAGTCCTGCCTCCACGCGTAATGGGAGAGAGGGTTCTGTTCTAGTTTGGAATGCTCCCATTTCTCTCCCTCTTCTCACCCTACAAACACTTTTACTCCGTCTCTGTTGTTGGATATGAACACACCACGGACCAGCCATTCATGAACTGAGTTTGTCTTATTTCAAGACAACCAATGTGGTGTCATGGTGGCTTTGGCCACACCAGTGTGGTGTGCTGATGGGGTCACTGCCATCAGCAGCCCCTGGCCATAACAGTTCATTTTGGTCACACATTGTGCAAGAAAGCAGAGGGGCACTGTAAATAGGGTTCTGGGTCCCGAGTGTTTCATGTAGTTCTGAATCTGCTATACCACAGATATGTGCTGCTATCATGCCAGACATTACTCGGAACTTCCAAACTTCTGTTTCTGGTGTGTCAGGATCGATGTAACTCACAGAGTTATTGTATTGCTCTAAAGATCAAATAGAAGTATGTAGTTTGCGAGCTCTGAGGACCACACATGTGAGCCTTCCCCTCCCCCTCCTCTTCATCATCATCATCATCATCATCAGGCCCAGGGAAGGTGGCTAGCAGTAAACCTAGCCACACAGAATGGGTTTGCCAGCATTTGTGGCAGGGTGACCTTCTGAGAACCAGACTGAGTAGTAACCACACAAGCAGAGTAGAGAAGTGAACCAAGGGACTGTCCACGAACAGGAAGCTGAAAGGATTTGGAAGCCCGTTATGTTCAGGCACAGGAACTAAGATGAACGATGAGCAGCCGCTGAGCAGCAGGGTGGACGGTGCGCAGTGAGAAATAGACAGGTGTGGTGGCTCATCTCTGTAATCCTAGCACCTAGCACCGGAGGCTGAGGCAGGAGGATTGCCACGAGTTTGACGCCAGCCTGGGCTGCATAATGAGTTCAGCCTGAGGCGCTGTCTCAAAAACAGGAAGGAGAGAAGCAGTCTGTTTGGAGAAAGACAGTGAGAGTTCAAAAGCAATCAGTGTCAGGAAGAAGAGACCAGAGACAAGATGTTTGCTGTCACCCAGCAGATCCTGGGGACAGCTACGAACACCCCAATGCTCTGGAGAACAGAGACTTCCCAGATGCCAGAGAGGCACTTTCTAGTGGGAGGCAGAAGAGTTCATGAGGCCTCCCCCAGGGACTTCCGGAAATATCAAATGAGGATGGATGAGCCGTCTCTAATTCTGAGAAGATAATCCACACACCAGACACATATGCACGGCCAACCTAAATCCTGCACGTCCTCTACATTCAGTGTGGCCATAGCCAGTGTGCTGGACACCAGCACTGTTCTGATCTCTGTGTGTCCATGCCATATCACCATAATTGGGACTGTGTCCTGCAACTCTATGAGACCTTTATAGACTACTTTACCATTATGCTTTCTTATTTGGGCTTCTAGAAGTTTATCATGAGTCAGTTCCCTGGAGATGGATTGCCTCTGATTGTGCCTTGGATTGGAAAAGCAAGAGGGACTGTAAATTGGAACCCTATCATCCCCAGCATACATACACTAGGTGTAAAAGCCTTTTGGGGTTGGCATGGGGGTCTGCCAAGAACTCAGCTACAGGCGTGGTGAATGTGACTGTGTTCACAGCCTAGTGGTGGTGTGGCCCATTTGAATGAAGCTTCAAGACAAGCTCATCCTGGGGACAGGTCCTCTGGAGGGGAAGAAGGTCTAGGATCCAACAAGGGACGACTTGAGGTGGCTGTGGAGAATGAGAAGAGGCTACATGGCCTGTCTCCTACCAATAAATATGAGCCATTGGGTTCTTGGTTAGTTGGTCACTTGGTCTTCTTTGCCTATTTAAGTTTTCTGACATAGAGTGTCACACTGGAGCCAGGGCCAGCCTTGCACTTGCAGCAATCCTCCTGGCTCAGTCTCCCAAGTGATATAATTACAAGAATGAGCCACAATGCCCAGATGTTTTATGTGTTGCTGCCTGGGAGAGGGAATGGTTTGTTTGTTCATTTGTTTTTGTTTTTGTTTTTGTTTTTGAGACAGGGTTTCACTCTGATGCCCAAGCTGATCTTGAACTTGTTGCAATCCTCCTGCTTCTGCCTCCCACGTGCTGGGATTTGTAGTTATGAGCTAGTTTGCCCAGCTGGTGTTTTGGGGTTTTTGTTTGTTTGTTTTTGTTTTGTTTGCGTCGGGGTCTTGCTATGTAGCCCAGGCTGGGCTTGAGTTTGCAGTAACCCACCTGCCTCTGCCTCCAGAATACTGGGATTACAAGAGTGTGCTACCACACCCAGATACATGCATTGGCTTCTATAAGCACGAGCCCTGGCACCATCACCACTGGGACCTCTCTAATGCCGTGGCTGCTGTCTCCTCAGCACCCTGGCTCACTCAGCTCCATTCTCCACACAGCAGCCTCATCCACCACCTCCCTCCGTCACACCCTGCCTGACCTAAGTCCCTGCAGTAGCCTCCCATGGCTCTCAGGAGGCAGACCCCCAAGTCCAAGATGACCCACAGCTGGGCAAAGTGTCGCCGGCCATCACACAGGAAGCTCCGCACAAAGTGAGTAGGCGTTTTAGTGGATGGACAACCATCTTCCACCAGCGTCTTGGCTCTGAGCGTCACCATCATGGCTCCTAGATGGGAAAACAAGTCAAATGACTCAGTCAAAGGGAAGAAGGCACTGTTCAAGCCGTAGGCATCTTTTTGGCTTGAACGAAATGCAGAAAGAAGACAAAAGGCCAGAAAAGGGGATTTGAGGGGGGAGGGGGGGGCGGAGGAGTGGGAGGGCGCGCGCCCCCGTGCGGTGAGGAGAGGCACTGCAGCAGCGTGGCTGCCCAGCCATGGGAGCGGTGGGAAGCCGATGCCTCCACGGCTCCCAGCTCTGGCTGGCCTGCCCCGGCTCGCTAGGCTTTGATGACCGCTTCCCACCTCCCCCACAAAAGCCTGTTTCTTGGCCAGCGCCGGGATGCATTTTATGATCCCCCTCGGATTCCCTGTACCAGGCAGAGAGCTGCTCTGAAATTCATATTCCAGCCGGGGTCCTGTATTAAAACAAGGGCTCCTCTGGTGCATGTGTTGGGGGTGGGGCTTCTCCCTGGATCTGCTGTGAGCCTTACTCAGTGAACCCCACCACCGTTTCTATCAGGTTCAGTGTCCTTGTCTCTAGAGGAGTGGCCCCTCCCTGGGGTAGGCATCAGGCTGAATTCGTACATTTCTGTAAACCTGCAGTGATCAGGAGCAGGCAATCAGCAAGAGCTTGCTACACGGACATAGTGTCTCATTTTCTGCTCCCAAGTACCTTCTGAGGTGGGCATCTATTATCATCAATCTGGTGAAGAACCAGGGGCCCAAGAAACCAACTACCGAAGATCAGGTGAGGGACAGGTGGAGGGGTGCCAGAGACTGGCAATTCCCTAGCTAGAGGGACTTTAAATAGCCAGCTCCAGGGCAGAGCCCACCGTGACAGACAGGCCTAACCCACCCACAGAGCGCCAGAGCAATAGGTAGCAACAACCGGCCTCCGCCTGGAGCCTGAGGCCAGTGGCTGCAGAGACAGCTGCTGAAGTAGCGTCTGCCGTGCCTGGCAGGGTTCAGATACTGAATGACACCCCACCTCTCGCCCTCTACTCCCAGGGTGCCCTAAGGAAGATCTTCCTGACCCTTGTCATGGTGAGAAAATTCAACCTCCATGACACACTGAACAAGGTGGCGGGACTGGTCAGCCAGCAAAGAGGGTCAGGACCAGTTACATACTGAGCCTAGGGTGGTCTCTGTCTTGACCATCTGCTCCTAACCCTGTCGTGGTAATGTGTGTACTGGGTGTCCATGGGACTTTGCTCTCTGGAGGTGGCACTTATAGCCTCTAACCTCTGGCCAGGAATTCTTGTCTCCCATGGAAATCACCAACCACACTGGTTCTGCTCTTCCCAGCCTGCCCCATTTTCCAGAGTCCCCACTGGCCACCAGGACTTGTAACTCCTTTCCCTGCCCCGGCTCTCCCCCAGCCCTGCCCACAGCCCCACTTTCTGTTCAAAACCAAACACAAGGACTACCAGGGACCATGGCAATAAGTATGGACTCAGTCGGGCTGGGTTCAAATCCCACCTCTACAATCCTTGGGGGGAACAGATATCAGGAGCCTGGGATCCAGGTTAACGCCCTGCAGCGCAGGCTGGCCAGCCCCAGGTATGATCCATCAGGGTGGGCTGCCTGGCATACTGTGGCCGCATCTCAGTCTCCTTACCCATCACAGATATGCACAGACCACAGGCAAGCCCTGCCAATGTTTGCAAAAGGTCTGGGGGCAGATGGGGCAGGGAGCAGGGGATCCTGAGCGCCAAGACACTGGCCCAGGAGTCCTGTCTCCTTGGGCCAGCTCTAGCATGTTGCATGGAGAGGTCCCACCCTGATTCTGGACAGGATCCCAGCCCAGGAGGCCACCCTACCCCCAGGGGCCTGAATCACCCAGCCAGTGGCTGCTTGATTTACCCAGCTCATTCTTGGCTCCTGCTGTGCCTCTTAAAGATGAAGGGAGAAAACAAGGGCTGGTGCAGGGCCAGCTCTCCTGAACACAGTTAGGACACGTGATCAGAGCCACTGATGTGCAAGGCCACACCCAACTTCCTTCTCTCACAATTCCCTGGTGGGAATAGAGGAAGGACCGTAAGGTATCCAGGCCAAGACCCCTTGGAGGTCTCCTATAGGAGCTGGGCAGGCGACAGGAGGACCCCGAAAGAGTGAAAGACACTGTCCCTCACCCCTGGCTAAGTCTGGAAATAGATGTTCTGGGTAACATCTGGTTCCACGGCCCCAACTCAACTCTGCCTTTGCTGGATCATCTTGCCCAGGCTACTGGGATCACTGCAGCCCATGGTCTCCTCTTTAAAAGTGGAAAGGTGGCAGTCTATCTCAACTCGGCCCAGCTGCCACAGATCCTGCCAGAGCAAGCTTGCCAAAACAAACAAACAACCAGACGTGGCCAATCAGCTTTGTCTCGCCCCACCTGAGATGGCATATACTCTCTCCATCTTAAGAACCATTGTTGACTTGGGGTCCCAACTCTGCTTCCTGTGAGTCTTGGTAGGTTCCCTTCTAACTATGGGACATTGGGAAAGAGGTCCCTTTCTAGCAATGGCCAGGCTTTCTTTGGTTGATGTTCCATGCCAGACCCTGAGCTAAGCACCCGCCCCCTCAAGTGGTGCAACCTGCTGGTACACCCCATTCCACAGGTGAAGAAACTGAGGCTTCAGGAGTAGGTAAGGCTTCCGGTAGGTGGAACTAGAAGGTGGGTAGTAACTGGGCCACTGTCCCACACTGTAGGGGCTGCTGGGCACCTTCAGGGCTTTGCTCTCAGTCCCTTGAGTGAGCCAAGGTGTAGTTTCCATTTTCACCACAGGGTGTCTCCACACCACTGCTCAACCAGCCTCCCGGGGCCGGCTCCGCTGACTCCTCCCTTCCTCGGGTCTGGTTCCCGCGGCTACTCTAGCCTGTGTCCTTCTTTGTCAGGCTCTGACTCCAGTGGAGCCTGAGGACAGCTGAGTGTCCTGGAGCAGAGGTGTTGCTTCCCACATGGGCCCCCACCTAGAGACCCTGGGTAGCTTCCTCTCTGACCTTCCTGAATCCCACCATCTTTAAGTTTTATCAAGAGCCTCAGGAGGCGCCAAAGTTCCCCAAGAATCAGGGTGAAAGACCCTGAAGAGCAAGGTGAAGTGGTCCGCTGCTGAAACCCCAGCACTAGGAAGGTGGAGGCAAATAGAGTGCCATGAGTTTGAGGCCAACCTAAGCTACATAGTGAGTTCCAGATCTGCCTGGACTGCAGAGTAAAACCCTGTGCCCAAAGAAAAACATGGGGGGCGGGGGGGGGGGGAGAAAGAAGTGAAGCAAGGTGGGGCATGGCAAGAAGAGAGGAGAGAGTGGAGAAGCAACTAGGTATGATAGTTTATACCTGTAACCCCAGTACATGGGAGGCTAAGGCAGGCGGATTGCTGAGAGTTCAAAGCCAGCCATAACTACATAGGGAGATCCTGTCTCCTAAAAATAAGAAAAGAAAAACAAACAACAGCAAAAGATGGAGCTTAAAGCTGAGGTGCCTGCCTGTAATTGCAGAGTTTGGGAGGTAGAGGCAAGAGCAGCAAAAAAAGACTGAGGCCAGCCTCGACTACATGAGATCCTGTGTCCAAATAAGGAGGGGAGGGGGAAGGAAGGGGAGAAGAAAGAGCTTGAAGAGATCCTGGGTCCTCTGTGAGCCTTTGTCAGCTTAGAGACAAGCTCAGCCGTGCCCAGCGACCCCTCTCAGCCCGGCACAGTGAGTCTGGTTTCTTGTTCCCTAGAGCCCACGTGTTCCTGAACTCCCTCTGTGATGGTCGTCAGAAGAGGTGTAATTAGCTCCTTTTAGGGGAGTGGGGGTCAAGACAGGGTTTCTCTGTGTAACAGCTCTGGTGGTCCTGGAACTCACTAAGTAGACCAGGCTAGTCTCAAACTCACAGAGATCCTCCTGCCTCTGCCTCCCCAGTGCTGGGTTAAAGGTGTGTGCCACCACTGCCTGGCTTTGTAATTAACTCCTTTTGAAAGATTCTGTGAGACCTAAGAAGTGGGACTCATTCTGGAAGTTCTTTATTACAATATAAATGTTGATTGCCAAGGACAGGGACACCAAAGCCCTGCTAGGCTGAATAGCTTTTCCAAAGCCACACAGAAGTCGGTAGTGACCAGAGGAGCCCAGGGTTCATGAGCACAATGTTCTCCCAGAACTTGTTCACACTTGATTTGGGGTTGGCCCAAGTGTGTCCTAGTCCAGGGTGCTAAAAGAGAAGGAAAAGAGCCAGGGATTCATTGGTTAAGGAGGTCGGGAGCCAGGAAGATTGAAGGCTGCTAGCAGATCAGAATCAGAGCCAGAGGCCAGGGAAGAGTCTGGCTTTGATTCAGCTCCCAAGGCCATGTGGAGAATCTCACTCTAGAGATCATTTGGTTTTGTGGGGGACAGCTGCCATGAATTTAGAGAAAGGAGAAAGATGGAGACAGATGGAGAAGGATGGGAGAAGGATGGAGAAGGATGAGAGAAGGATGGAGAGGATAGAGAAGGATGGAGGAGGATGGAGAGGATAGAGAAGGATGGAGAAAGATGAGAGAAGGATGGAGGAGGATGGAGAGGATAGAGAAGGATGGAGGAGGATGGAGAGGATGGAGAAGGATGGGAGAGGATGGAGAAGGATGGGAGAGGATGGAGAAGGATGGGAGAGGATGGAGAGGGTGGAGAAGGATGGAAGAAGGATGGGAGAAGGATGGAGAGGATGGAAGAGGATGGAGAAGGATGGAGGAGGATGGAGGAAGATGGAGAAGGATGGGAGAAGGATGGAGAGGATGGAGAAGGATATTTCCTTCAGTGCCTCCCAAAAGGCCCACAGTATGGGGTCCCCTTCCTTAGCAATCTGCCTAACTGCATCAGCCCCAGCCACTACTCTGCGTCCCTGCCTACGATACAGGATCCCCTCCACCCTACCAAAGCCACCTAGAAGAGAGAGTGCCCCTGTGCTCTTTCTCTACCGGAGCCTTGTCAGGATGATGGAGCAAGCTCGGAGCCTTGTCAGGATGATGGAGCCATCCAACCCACACCTAGTCATCAGACCACAAGCAGCCAGCCAGTTGAACATGGCAGGTCCCATTGGGTCCCCAAACTAACTGTAGCACTTGGAACAGACATTAAATCATGTCCTTTATGGTGAGGGCTTGGTGATCCTCCTAACCAAGCATGTCCCCATAAGCCCAAGGCCATGTAGCTAACGGAACTCAATACTGGATTTGAACTCTAGACTCCTTACCCTTGAACCAGAACAGTCCTGTGACCGCAGTCCATCATCACACAGGCTTTTGGGATCTTGGTTTCTTCATCTAACCAAGAATATCCATTTCACCTTTCTCGCAGCTGAAATGGAAATGCAAAGTGGGTTGCAAAAGGCTTTGAAAAATTAAAACCATGATGTGAATGATCAAAACATGACTGCATGCAAGGAAGGAGTCCATGGAGTTCCCTGGGGGCGGGCCAGGGGATGTAAGCAGCGCTCAGCTGAAGCAAACATCATCTCAGCATTGTTAGGAGGATGGACTGTCCTGTAAGGCCTCTCTCTTTATGCATCCCCGAACCTCGTAGGAGTGATTCTCAAGCACTCCCCAGGGGAATCACCCACATCACTGCACTGTATTCCTGCCTGCCTGGGGGTAGGCAGGATAGAGGGAGCAGAGTTGCAAGGCTGGCACACAATCCTGTCACCACTTTGGGTCCATGCTGGTCAGAAGACAACCTAAGCAATGCCTATCAATCTTGAGATGCATATCCTGTGGCAGCAATTCTGTTTCTAGAAATTGCACAGATGGCTATGGATAAGGCTGGCTCCGCAGCTTCGTCCGTAAAATCTACTGGAACGTCCTTCATTAGGAGAGGTCAATAAATCCTGGTGGCCATACTCTATGATACCAGGCAAAAAGTGACGTCAATTAGATGTCATGTAAAAAAAAAAAGTTATGTATGTGTGCATAAATAAAGTAGGTTTATACAAAAATCTCTAATGTGCATTGTTAAGAGCCGGGAGTTCGTAAGCGGAGGATGATCTTGAACTTCTGACTTTGCTGCCTCCACCTCCCAAGAGGCAAGGTTACAGATACACACCATCTGTGCGTGCCTGGCTTTGTTGGTTTGCTTGCTTACTTGCTTAAGGCAAGGACTCCTTGCTAAATAGCTCAGGCTGGCCTCAAACTTACCCTGCTCCAGCTTTCTGAGTCCTGAGATTACAGGTGTGCACCACCAAGCCTGGCCCAGAAAAAAAAAAAATACATAAATGATTCAGATATGCTATTGATCATCGTTGCTGTGCTTGGGAGGTGCGTGGCCTGAAGTAAATAGGGCTTATTTTTCATTATATTCTTATACATGCTATTTTTTTTCAGCCAAGTAAAAGAAGGGAAGAGGAAAGAGGAGAAGAGAACAGTCTAGAAAAATAATTGTTTGACCTTAACCGGATATCTCAAGCCCATCTACTTCCTGTTCCTAGCTTCCGAACCTTCTCCCAGCTCTGACCCCACTCTACCCTGTCTCAGATTTCACTCCAGCCTTGGCCCCTTCTCCTCTTCGTTCTGTGAGGACCAAGGGCTCCCTTTCATGCCCAGCCACAAGAAGCATCAAGGGTCCCCATAGGAGAACCTCAGAGGCTAGGCGAGAGGCGGTGCCCCAGAGAGAGCCCTTGTGAGCACGCCCAGGGGCTGGGTTTCTCATTAGGATCGTGGAAGGAGTGGCTATTTAACACCAAGCTTCAAAGAGTGGAGGATTTTCAAAAATCGCTTTTGGGGAATATGCCGCTTTTATGAGAGGTGTCAGACGTTAATGAGAGTTCTGCATCTTTTCCCAGCTTGCAGAGCGGCTCTCTCCCTCTCTTTTCCGCCCCCACTCATTCCAGCAGCCAGCTACCCATCCACACCCCCCGCCCTTTGATGAGTCAAGAGAGGTGGGAAAGTTCAAGGGACAATCCTTTTCCCCTCCTCAGCCCACCTCCTCCTTCCAAGCTTGTGAAGCTGAGAGGACCCCAGGGAGGCAGCGGGAAGCCAGGGCAGGGCTGGGAACAGGTTCAGACAGGGGCAAAGGGGTCAGACCTGCTGCCTGAGCTCCTCTGTGCAAGATTTCCTCGCAATGAATAAGCAAGTCTAGGGCCTGCCCTGTGCCACTGGGGCTGACACTGTTGCTCTCACGGGCAAGAATCCTGCTCTTAATTGCTCTCATATCCTTGCATAGAAGCAGGGAGCAGGCTCCATGTTGTACAAATCTATCATTACAAAGGAGGAAGTTTGGCCAGGAGTTGTATTGCATACCTGTAATCCCAGCACATGGGAGGCTGAGGCAGGAGGATCACTGTGAGTGTAGTCTACATAGTGATTTGGGCCAGCCTGGGCTACATACCTGTCTCAAAAAAAGAAGTTAATTTTGTTGTCTTAGTTTCATTTTTAGATAGGCTCTCCCTATATAGTCCAGGCTAGCCTTGAGTGTGTAATCTTCCTGCCTGAGCCCCCGTTGCAAAACTTAAATGAGAGGTTTAGTTTTGTTGTTGTGAGGTTCTTTGGGTTTTGTTCAATGGATATGGTGGAAATGAAAGTGATAATGGTGGTGATGGTGGTGTTGGGGATAGTGGTCCTGATGTTGATGGTAGTGATGGTGATGGTGGGGGGTGGTGATGGTGGTGGTGTTGGGGATAGTGGTCCTGATGTTGATGGTAGTGATGGTGGTGATGGTAGTGTTGGGGATAGTGGTCCTGATGTTGATGGTAGTGATGGTGATGGGGGGGGGGTTGGTGGTGATTGTGGTCCTGATGTTGATGGCGGTGATGGTGGTGATGGTAGTGTTGGGGATAGTGGTCCTGATGTTGATGGTAGTGATGGTGGTGATTGTGGTGTTGGGGGAGGGGTCCTGATGTTGATAATGGTGATGACTGTAGGAGACTGACCACCATGGTAGTGAGGAAGGAATTACCTAGTAATAGATGAATTTACCCCTTAGATCGGGATAGAAAGAAAACAGGTTTATTTACCACATTACAAGGGACAGTGAGCTGAGGAGTAACAAAGGCTCAGCCTGCCAGTTGTGGGTTTTTGGTTTTGGTTTTTGGGTTTTTTTTACCCAATTTAAATTTTTTTAAATTTCATGTACATTCATGTTTTGCCTGCATGTATGTCTGTGTGAAGGTGTCAGATCCCCTGGAACTGGAGTTACAGCACATGGAGCTGCTATGTGGGTGCTAGGAATTGAATCCACGTCCTCTAGAAGAGCAGCCAGTGCTCCCAAGTGCTGAGCCATCACCCCAACCCCTTTTACCCCATTTTAAATGTTGGTCCATATCCCAATGTTAGAATATACTGAATGAGCTTGAAAGATAAGCTGAATGTCAAGAGCAGAAGGGCATCCTTCACTTCAACTGGAATAGACAACACTCTCAAAGGTATTTGTGAAGAGGGTGTGCTTCATGTCTGCATAAATGATTACATGTCTGACCTTACCTTAACCCCATAGTTATTAACACTGGGTGCCTTCAGGCCTGTAGACAGGACACTAGAAATTATTTCTATCACAGGGCATTGGGATACTCCAGACTACCAAACTACATGGGCTTTCTCTCACCTCCTAGGCCTAGGCTGGAAACCAGAGCCTCCATATGGTACACAAATGTTCCTCTACCTCTGAGTAACACCTCCAGTCCTTTGAGTTTTGTTGTGGTTTTGTTGTTGTTTGGTTTTCAAGACAGAGTCTCACTATGTAGTCCAGGCTGGCCTCAAGCTCAACCCCCTTCTTCCTTCCTGTCTCGGCTTCCTCGGGGATTACAGACATGCACCATCATACCCAGCCTTGAACTCTTAAGTTCTTAAGAGAAAGGGTCCACTCCTTAGTCTCTTTCAATAAATGATGGATGGACAGAGAATTAGAGGAATATATAGATAGTGCCATGGCCCCTGGAAACATAGGGAGTAATAAGACAGTGATACATCAAAAGTTAGTCCTGCCTGAAGCAGGAAGCTACACACAATGACCTTTTGGCTCTGTTTCTAGCCTAAGCATCGACAATCAGAATGAGTGTGCTCATCTAAACCATCATTAGGACTTTCCATCTCTCCCTTGTGTATAGGTAGTTGTCTCCACCACTGCTGACTACTGCCAGATCCCTTTTCATCTGCCAGTAATCATGGTCACCCCACACTGTCATTTATCAGGACCCCAGTGCCCATTTGACAAAAGCTCCTGCAAGAACATGAGGAAGGAAGGAGTACTGTCCTGTCTGGGTATGTTATTTCCAGGGAGCATGGCCCAGGCCGGCTGTGGAAGGAAGCTGGAGACGGTGAGACTTCTTCTCACTCACGATCAGGGAGAGTTCAACAGTAACACGGCATCCAGAGAAATTCCACTTGTGCCTTCCAGATATCAACAAAGAAAGCCCGCCAGACAGTGCCCTTGAGGACATTCTAGCCCATTCTAGACTTCTTTGTCTCACTCTTTCATTCCCATTCTTTTCCCGAAGTCTTTTTTTCCCCAAACTCCCTGCAAATGAGCACCTACCCACCCCTTCCAAACTGAGCTGCTTCTTCATAGCCTAGAATTTGGCCAATAGATACCATCCACATGCTGGCTCAGGAGAGCAATGGCCAGTGGGGCCCCTCACTAGCCTAAAAACAAGCATGT